ACATGGCGAGTCTGGTCGAAAAGAGCATGTAATATACTACCTTAGAAAAAAGTTTACCGACTGTGAAACAAGATACTCACTGCTCGAGAAAACTTGTTGTGCTTTATCATGGGCTGCTCGCCGACTAAGACATTATATGTTTACCCATACTACCTTGTTGATCTCTATGATGGACCCAATAAAATATATATTCGAGAAGCCCGCTCTCTCCGGAAGAATAGGAAGATGGAAATTGGTCTTGACAGAATACAACATTCAGTACACCACTCAGAAAGCAATCAAAGGAAGTATATTGGTAGATCATTTGGCTCATCAAGATGTAGACGACTATTAGACTATGGATTTCGAGTTCCCATATGAGAATGTTATGCTGATTATTGATTATGAAAAAACTAGACCGTATGAAGGACCTTCCCCGGGATCCCGATGGACTATGGTGTTTGATGGAGATTCCAATGCGCTTGGTAATGTAGTTGGTTCCGTGATTGCCTATCCCAAGGGTTTCCATACGCCCTTCACCGCCAGATTATGTTTTGACTGTAGCAACAACATGGCAGAATACGAAGCGTTCATCATGAGTATCAAGGTTGCTATTGATATGAGGATCAAATTTTGAATGTATATGGGGGCTCAGTCCTAGTAATCAGTCAAATTAAGGGAGAATAGGATATGAAGCATCTAAATCTCATTCCTTATCGAGATTATGTGTTGACGTTAATTTCGTACTTTGAAGAAATCACTTTTGAACACACTCCACGAGAAGAGAATCAATTGGCAGACGCATTAACTACCATGTCATCTATGTTCAAAGTCAGATGGGACAATGAAGCTCCTTGAATCACTATTGAGAGATTAGATGAACCGACACATTGCTATGAAGTTGATACTGATGGAGTAGAGGAAAATCCTTGGTACCATGAAGTGAAAAGATACCTCGAGACTCAAGAATATCTCGAAGGGACATCTATTAATGATAAGATATTTCTATGGAGGTTCTCTTCCAAGTTATTTCTGAGTAACATAGTTTTGTACAGGAGCAATCATGATTCAACTTTGCTTCGTTGTGTATACAAGAAGGAATCTCAAAAGATTATGGAAGATATGCACGAAGGAGTATTTGGTACTCACTCAGATGGACACATAATGGCTAAGAAAATTCTGAGAGCGGGTTATTATTGGTCGACCATGGAAACTGATTGCCATCGTCATTCCAAAACTTGTCACAAGTGCCAAATTTATGCTGATAAAATACATGTGCCTTTGGTTCCCTTGAATGTCCTTACTTCTCTTTGGTCGTTTTCAATGTGGGGCATTTTTATGATTGAAGAGATTAAGCCTAGTGTGACCAATGGGCATCGTTTCATCCTGGTCTTTATTGATTATTTCACAAAGTGGGTTGAAGCATCCTCGTTTTCCTCCGTTACAAACAATTTAATTGCTCGATTCATTATGCATAATCTCACCTGTAAGTATGGCATACCCAAGAGGATCATCACAAATGATGGTACCAATCTCAACAATACTATGATCATGGAACTCTGCATGTAGTTCAAAATTAAACACCATAATTCTCCTCCATATCGACCAAATATGAATGGCGCAGTGGAAGATGCCAACAAGAAAATCAAGAAGATTTTGCAGAAAATGACAGTAACATACAAAGATTGGCACTAGATGATACTATTTTCTCTTCGTGGTTATCGCCCTTCAGCATATACATCAACTAGGGAAACTCCATTTTCTCAAGTCTATGGTATGGAGGTTGTTCTGCCTGTCGAGGTCCAGATTCCTTCTCTAAGGATTATGAAAGACACATGTTTAGATAAAGACGAATGGATTCAAACCAGATTGAACCAGATAAACATGATTGATGAAAAGAGGCTTGCAGCTGTTTGTCATGGCCAAATGTATCAGAAGCGCATGATCAAAGCCTTCAATAAGAAAGTCAAACATCAGGTGTACCAGGATGGTGGTTTGGTATAAAGTTCTTCATCATACCACAAGGTGATCCTAGGGGAAAATGGACTCCCACGTAAGAAGGGCCATTTGTGATTAAGAAGATATTTTTTGGTGGTGCTATGATACTTACCACCATGGATGGTGAAGATATTCCTCACCCTGTGAACACAGACATAGTTAAAAAATAAGGGCATCCTGGCGATCCAAAATGGTTCGGGATAGAATTATGGATATACATAAAAAGAACATACATCCTTCAAGTCAAAAACCTGAAAGGGTGACTTGGGCAAAAAAGGATATCTCGGTGGATTGAAAACCCGAAAGGGCGGTCAAGGAAAAAGTTAGGGATTAAAGCATACAAATATGTCCTGTTGGATCACCCATGTATTTATAGTCAGCATAATTACCGATGTCAAAGTTCAAATGGTACAGATCAATTCAGTCAACTTCTTCCGACAGTGAGGGATAAGATGAGTGAAGATATAGGGGAAATAGCATAGTTGAAACTCGATGGGATCATTTCCACATTACTCATCTTCTTTATTTCTCTTTCTACACCTTTTATTTTACGACGACTTCCTCTTACTAGGATTTCAGTCTCTTTGTACAAAACTATCTGTTTATAGGCAAATTTTCCAAATCAATGCAATCAGCTTCAAATTCAAAAGCTATTCTTACTTACACTATTTTGTTTGCAAAAATGCACAATGGTTATATTGAATGAACATATGCATTTGAATATGATTATGATTTACAAATATATGCATGAAAACAGGATTAGCATTTACAAAAGATTCTAGGAGTTGGGATAAACATTCGAAGCTGACCATAAATTCCCATGGAGCAATTTCCTCAGATATTTTCTCACAAGTTAATCCCCATCAAAGAATATTTCCCCGGTGAAGTCGCCACAGTCTATATGGTTTATTTCCCCAATTGAGTTTATTTCTCCAACATTGCAAAAATTCCACGACAAGATCCCCTTTTCCTACCAGATGACATTCAACATTGTCCTCCATAGAAAAGTCAATATTCATATCTGAAACCTGGTCAAGAGACAGATCAGAAGAATTTCATATCTTTCATCTCCAGTCAGAATTCAAATATTACAAAGAATGACCGACTCACCTTGAATGCTTTTATCCCCAAGCAAAAATCGAAGATCCCCAGCAGTGTCTCCTAAAATGGAAAGAAGAAATCTCCAATAGAGGCATTCTAGACAAATTTATGAATTATTGTCTTCATCCCCAGCAACAATCAGGGATTTATTTTCCCCAACCAAACATTGCTACACAAGGCTAATGATAAGCTTCAATAACACATTGCATTCATACATCATTTACAAAAATATCATGACACATACATAGGAAACACATATACCATTCTCATTTATTTGGAGAAACATCATTACACAATACATTACATACATCATGACATTGCATAGAACTAACTTTATATTTTCAGGATATGATTGAAAACGAAAAGATATTACCAGCAATTTACGGACAAGCTATGGATCTAATCCCAAAACAAGACGGGGCGACTATCTACTCGACCAAGTGATTTCATTCAGACTTTTTATTCTAAAAAGCATCTCCTTCAGGGCCTTCTTTCTGAAAAGCATTTTCCTCAGAGACTGAATTATGGCGAGCATTTCCTTCAGAGGAGTCCTGGAACTCATTTCCCCTTCAGTACTTAATTCTTAAAAGCATCTCCTTCTGAAGTTTATTCTGGAAACCATCTCCTTCAGCACTTCGATCTGAAAAGCATTTCTCCTTCAGATACGGAATCCTAAAAAGCATTTCCCTAAGAGACCGAATTTTGGCGAGCATTTTCTTCAAAGGAGTTATGAAATGCATTTCCCCTTCAGTGTTTCATTCTGAAAAGCATATCCTTCAGAAGTTTATTCTAAAATGTGTCTCGTTCAGCACTTCATTCAGAAAAGCATTTCCCCTTCAGATACAGAATCCTGGAAAAAAATTCCTCTGAAGACCGAGTTCTAGCAAGAATATTCTTCAGAGGAGTTCTGAAAGGCATTTCCCCTTCAATACTTCATTCTGAAAAGCATCTCCTTCAGAATTTTATTCTGAAAAGTATCTCTTTCAGCACTTCATTATGAAAAGCAATTCGCCTTCAGATACGGAATCCTAAAAGGCATTTCCCCCAGAGACGAGTTCTGGCGAGCGATTCCTTCAGAGGAGTTCTGAAACTCATTTTGTAACACCCCATTTCTACCCAACAATTATTTATAAAATCAAAGTATAAAACTTTAAACCAAAACATGGGATATTACACTTTCAATAGAAATAACCAAAACTTGTACTGTTTTTAGAAAAGATACATAACACTTATGGAAGCAAAATGAACACAAAGCATAAATATAGTTTCCATAACATAAATCGACTTTCATTAACAACGCAGCGAATTCATAATAAAATCTCCAAATAAGACATAGCATATGTCTACTATTTCAAACGACATTAAAACAAATCAAATCTTCCAATAACAACTTTAAAGTTTAACTTAAAACAACAAAAATCAAAACATGCGTTCATTTCCCCCCGAGTGCTACGTATCAGAGAAAATGACACCAAACTTGAACTAATGATGTACAACTATCCTTCTTGATTACCTTCACGTTACAACCAGAGGGCAACATTCAAAAAGAAGGGTGATATATCAAACTATATAATAAGTCGTACGATAAATAATATAATAGGTAAAGAATATACTATTCACCACTTCACACAACAACAACAACATAAAGCAACACAATTCACCAACACATCAATTCAACTTATAACACCACCATGCATAGACAACACTTCAAATAAGAAACAAATCAACGACTCCAAATGTGACTCAACTGTGCAAATGCATGTGGTACCATTGGAGCTGAACTCCCAACTTAGAAATTTCCAGTAATTCCGAGGCATAAGGCATAAGCCTTCAACATTAAATCTTGCCGATAAAGGCCAACGTGGTGAGCATTCAGCTCCAACATAAAAAGTTCCAATCCAGGCCAACTTTAATGTTATGTTATGCTATGCAACGATATAAACAGCCACAACTCGACAACGCAACAGCGACAACAACATAACAACAATCGACATAACAACAATTCACATCGTTTAACATTGGCCAAAGGCCTACAATACAACATATCAATGAGATCAACAACTTTTCATGGAAACGACATATTCACCACATATCTGCTAGGATTCACACCATAAGGCTACCCACAGCGAAAATCACAACAATACAACAACTCAATATAATTCAACTTTGGCCATAAGCCTACAACTTGATATTACCCATAAATAGAGGCAATTCAACAAAATTAATCATCAACTACAATTTAATTACCGGCTGAACGTCCCATTATTTATACTCTGTACTAATATTCGTTATTAGTTTTCTGACAACTTAATACTACACTGTTATCTAATTTATACTGTCAAATGCGAGACTTACTATTTTCCTGCCACTGGATACTAGTGTTTTAATTCATCAAGAATTCTATTCTGCTAAAAATACTACTCTGTACTTTATTTTGGGTTACTCAATAAACTTACTACTGTTGCTGCTAAGTTTACTATACTAATAGTATATATACATATCAAGGTTTGTGCTACTTTGTTTATCTTTATTGTTGAGGTCCTTCTACTAATTATATGCTAAGGTTATTTTCCATACAACACTGCTACTAATAAATATAACTATGTTCCTATTAAAAATTACCTACTGCTACTTGCTTTGCTAAATTAATTGAATAAGTAATGCTGCCATCTCGTTTTTTTCTTTTACTTAGTGCATCACTTAAATTCTAGGTATGGTTGGCAACAAGGCATCATGCCCCTCGGCACACATTTCCCTTTCTCTTCTAGGGTGCCGATCGGCACCTCCTCCCTCTCCACATGTTCCGTTCGGCACAATAATTTTTCGGTCGTCACTCCTTACTCAACAACCATACAACCATGCCGTTCGGCATGGCATTACAATCCTCAAGACTGCTGGTCGGCACACACACTTTTATTTCTTTGTTTTCTTCCTAATTTCTTCTGTCTGCTACGAACCAATACGGTATCAAATTCAGCAACACAGCATAGTATCACATCAACATAAAATTATACAAATAGACACATTAATTTTCCACAACCAATTTGGTGACAGCAACCACATCTCAGTATCAAATTACAACCATTAAACACAAATAGAGGCAGTTTTACAAACCCAATCCCACATAAAATTTGTCATACATCCCATTAGATAGTCACAACCCCACCCTTACCTCGGATTGACGGTTCTCTATAATTTCCGGTTGAATTCCGATTTGGTTTTCCGGTCTACGATTTCTCTCCCGACGACAGTTTCCTCCAACCCTTGTTCTCCTTGCCACTTCTCATGTACCATTATTCTTTCGCCAAACCCTTAATGCAACGTACCAAACCTAATTTCACTTCTACTTCTTATAACAACCTAATAAAATATTATATCTTACCACATTGTCTTATTCGGCCCACTAGATAATACCTCCAGCTATGCTATTTACCACCCAACCACTTAATCCAATTTAATTAAATAATAATCCAATAGAATAATATTATTTCTAATATTATTTCTCCGATTAAACCGACCATCCATTTAACAACTCAAATCAACATATTAATTCAATCACACCTCTTAAAATAATACCGACAGATCCTAACTTCGATCATTTCCAATAATTAAATCTTTAATTAATTTAATTAAATAATTAATTAAATTCAGGGTGTTACAGACTATCAGTTAGTGCCTACCATGGAAGAGTTCTCTCAGTTATTGAATATACCCATTCTTGACCATGTGCCTTTCACAGGTTTAGAATAGCTTCCTAAGCTAGAAGTCAATGCCTCAATTTTGCATCTGAAACGGGCCGACGTGGTATCCAATTGGGAAACAAGAAGCGGAGTCAAGGGTTTTCTAGCCAATTTCTTAATAGATAAAGCCAAGTTGTTTTGGGATGATTTGGACTTTCAGGATTTTGAGGAGGTCTTGGCCCTTCTAATCTATGGGTTAGTACTATTCCCTAATCTAGACTTGCTCATAGATGTGAATGCTATCAAGATCTTCCTCTCTCGCAAACTCGTGCCTACTTTTCTAGGAGATATCTTGCACGCTCTCCATACTCGTACCATGAAGAGAAGAGGGGTTATTATGTGTTGCATATCGTCGCTGTCAAGGTGGTTCATTTCTCACCTCCCTAAGTCAGTACTGAAGAATGAAGAAGGTTTGGTTTGGTCGCAAAGGATAATGTCACTTTCTCACAAGGATATTCTCTGGTATTCCCGAGTTGTGGGAGATATTGCTATTATTGACCGTTGTGGGGAGTTCCCTAATGTCCCACTACTTGGCGTTAGGGGAGGCATAACTTACAATGCTTGTTTGGCTCTATGACAATTTGGTTACGCTCGAAGCGACGGTCCTCTTGAGTTACTTATCTAGGACATTATGTTTAACTATGAGGATGATGTTCAAGGGTATTGCCAGAGGTTCATACGAGTTTGGGGCATGGTAAACAGATCTAACGCCAAGACTTTGGGGCCAAAAAATCCCATTCCTATGGAACCTTATCTCCAACGGGTACGAGATCGAGCTCAGAAACTTATGATGCCCTACATAGCTGTCTTGCCAGTGATAGTGGAGCCCATTACTGAAGGGGATATTCCCTACACGGTTCTTCATCCTGATATGCCCACTGATCTTGAAGAGCTACAGAGGTCTTGGATCCATTTGAAGAAAGAGAGGGATACTTATAGGGACCAGTTCTATGCCCAGGAGAGGAAGGTTTTAGAGCTTACAGAGAAGCTTCATGAGGAAAGAAGCCTTAATGTCTATCTCGGCACAAAGAGGAAGCATCCATGGGAAATTTGATTTCTTTTAGTTTTTTCAATTGTAACGCCTAAAAAGCAATTGTATTTTGAATTCTAATAATAAAATATTTACTTTATTTTGGTTCGCAAATTTCAATTTCCCAAAGTCCTTGAAATCATTACATACGCATCCCATCCATAGCATTGCATAAACAGGTACCATTACAGGCTTCTCATCTTCTTCACTATTTATTTCAGCAAAAATGTCTTCTGAACAAAGCATAAAAGATCTTCAGGCACAAAATGCCCAATTTCAACAGTTGTTTATAACTCTGGCTAAAGGGCAGGAGGATCTGAAAGCCCTCATCCTGAAGGAGAAGAAGAAAAAGAAGAAGGTCTCTGGTATTCTGAATATGGGCAGAAGGTTCAGGGGGCCGTTAAAGAAACCAGTCGATCTGACCTCCTCATCCAAGGAAGGGGAGAATCAAGAAAGGGAGACAAGGGAGAAGGACCCCAATCCTGATGTTTCTGACAATGATACATACTACAATAATGAGAAGTATCCTCCCACTGAGGATAGATACAAGTAGTTGGAAGATCGTTTGAGTGTTATGGAAGTCTATAGAATACTTGGGTTGGACTTTGGAGAACTAGGATTGGTGTCGGGAGTGGTCATCCCGCAGAAATTTAAGGCTCCGGTTTTCGCAAAGTACCCAAAACTCCATCTCCGTTCCTATGTAAGGAAGATCCAGCCGCACACCACTGATAGAAACTTGTGGGTTCACTTCTTTCAAGACAGTCTATCAGGGACCTAGCTTGAATGGTTCTACCAACTAGAGGGAACCAATGTCCGAAACTGGGAAGATTTGGCTGCTGCTTTTTATAAGCAGTATCAATACAACGCCGACCTTGCCCCTACTCGTACTCAACTCCAGAGTATGTCCATGGGTGTAGGTGAAGGCTTTAAAGACTATGCACAAAAGTGGATAGACTTGGCTGGGAGAGTCTAACCCCCTTATTTGACAGGGAGTTGGTTGACATGTTTCTTGGGACGCTGTCTGGTCCATTCTTTAATCATCTGATTGGCAACTCATCAGCTGGTTTCACCGAGCTGATATTAACAGAAGAAAGGGTAGAGGATGGGATTCGGAGCGGTAAAATACAGAAAGACACCTCCTCGAGTTCAGTAAAGAAGCCTTTCACTAGTAAGAAGGAGGTCAGTGCCATCTATAGCCCAAGAGGTCAAAGCAGAGTTGAACACCGTCTGACAGTAAGTGTTGTAATGATACCTAGGCATGCGACTTCTCCACAATGCAATAATCAACAAAGGGTAGAAAGACCACAAAGGAAGTTTACCCGGATTAACATGACATTGACAGAGGTTCTACCTCATCTGCTGAGATCTAACTTGGAAACCTTGAAAGAGGCTCCCAAGAATCCTAATACCACGTCTCCTCGGTACAATCCAAATACTCGATGTGCCTACCATTATGAGAGTCCCGGCCATGATACAAATGACTGCTGGGCTCTGAGAAATAAGGTACAAGATCTGATTGAAGCCAAAGAGATTGAGTTCGATGCTTTGGAGAAGCCTAATGTCATAACTGCTCCCATGCCTAAGCACAACCGAGGAGTTAATGTTGTTGATATCGATCTATTTGTAACCTCAGTTGATGAATTTTCTACTCCTCTTATGACTGTTAAGAAGAATTTGTTGCTGGCCGATTTATTTCCGGGTTGTGGTGAAGGTTGCCACATGTGTTCATCTCTGCCCACTTGTTGCTATTTGCTGAAAGCAGGTGTTCAACGCCTGATGGACAGCAGAGAAATTTTGTTTGAAAAGACTTTGATTCCAACTGTTCTGTTTGAAGATGTTGCTATTATAACTATTTCCGCCAATCCTTCCAAGGTCTCCTTGAGAAGACCTGTTAGGATTACACTCGCTCCGAAAGTCGCTCTGAAAGTCGCTCCATTAATAATCACTTTTCCTGGTCTTGTCCCATACGCCTCGGACAAAGCTGTCCCTTGGCATTATGGCGTCGATGTTTACTATCATGGCGTTAAAAAAGATCTGAAGAATGAAGAGGCTGATCCCGATCTTAGTAACATTGTCGGTACCAGTAAGATTACCAGAAGTGGAAGGGTTTTCTCTCTCGAGATTTCCCCAAACACTGTCAATAAGCCTGTTGTTATTTCACCTGCTATTCCTACCGGTACTTCAACTACTACTCCTGTTCTTACTCCAATTGTCACTCCTATCGTTGAATCATCTGAGACCCAAGGCAAAGAAGCTATATATGAGCCTTCCTGGACGGAGGCACCTAGAAAGATTGTCGTAGAAGCCTCTAAGCAAGAGATAGAGGAAATATTAAAAATAATTAAAAAGAGCGACTACAATGTGGTCGAGCAGCTGGGGAAGACCCCCTCGAAGATATCCATGTTGTCTCTGTTGTTGTGTTCTGAGGCCCATGTGAAGTCTTTGATCGCATTCCTCAAGACCACGCATGTGCCGTAAGAGACCTCGGTTGATCAATTCAAAGACTGTGTAGCCAGTTTAACTGCTGACAATGGGATGGGTTTTTCAGATGCCGACTTAACACCAAAAGGGAGGAAGTATAATGATGCTCTACATGCCTCTGATCAAATGCAGGGGCACCACTATGGCTCATGTACTGGTGGATACTGAGTCTTCGCTGAATGTTCTGCCTAAAAAGGCTCTCGATCGACTGGATTGTGAAGGATTGACCTTAAAGCCTAGCAACATTGTGGTAAGGGCGTTTGACTGGTCCAAGAGAATGGTGCATGGGGAGGTGGACATCCTTATCAAGGTAGGCTCTCAAACCTTTGAGTCCACCTTCTATGTGATGGACATCAGGCCGTCATATTCTTGTTTGTTGGGTCGTCCTTGGATCTATGAAGCTGGGGTTGTTACTTCTACACTGCACCAAATGCTGAAGTATCCGGTGAAGGGGAAGATTGTCATTGTGCATGGTGAAGAGGAGTATATGATGAGCCTCTTTAACTCCTTCAGGTATGTGGAGATGGACGGGGAATTCATATAGACTCCTTGTCAAAACTTTGAAGAGGTTCCCCAAATTTTATCATCGACTGAAACTACCACCAGCAACAAACCTCCTTTGAAGATGGCTTCTCTCAAAGACGCCAGAGCAGTGGTTGAAGAAGGTGGGTATACCAACTGGGGACAACTCCCTGATTTTACTCACAAAACTGACAAGTTTGGTTTGGGCTTTACTTCAGGAGCTCAAAGGGATGTTCGACGTGCTCGAGCTGGAGGACCTCCCCTACGCATCATTAATCGGGGAATTAATGCAATTGAAGACAGTGAGGAAGACTCTGACATTGACAGCTGGATATACCCGCAAAATTCTTCCTCAGTAATGGAATCCTCTACAAGCGCAACCATGACTCTACCTTACTGTGGTGTGTAGACAAGAGTGAAGCAGAGAGGATTATGACAGATCTACATGAAGGTACCTTTGGAACCCATTCCAATGGACATACCATGGCTAAGAAGATCCTACGGGCAGGATACTACTGGTTCACTATGGAAGCAGATTGTTATCAGCATTCCCGAACATGCCATAAGTGCCAAATTTATGTTGATAAGGTGCATGTGCCTCTGGTTCCTTTGAATGTTTTGACAGCTCCGTGTCCCTTTGCAATGTGGGGCATCAACATGATCGATGAAATCAGGCCTACAGCTTCTAATGGACATCGGTTCATCCTGGTAGCAATCGATTACTTCACGAAATGGGTTGAGGCTGCCTCCTTTTCTACCGTTACCAAGAACGTCGTGGTGCAGTTTATCCAACATAATCTGATTTGTCGATATGGTGTGCCAGAAAGAGTTATTATTGGCAATGGTATAAATCTCAACAACACGATGATCACCGAGCTCTATAAAAAATTCAAGATACAACATCATAACTCTTCTCCCTACCGGCCGAAGATGAATGGCATTGTTGAAGCGGCTAACAAGAATATCAAAAATATTATACAGAAGATAACGGTGACATACAAAGATTGGCATGAGATGTTACCATTCGCTCTTCATGGGTACCGTACCTCAGCACAGACGTCGACAGGGGAAACACCCTACTCTCTGGTATATGGCATGGAGGCAGTCATACCTGTAGCGGTGAAAATCGGAGATCAAGCTATTAATTAACTTGACTCACAAAAGCAAGAGTCGCCACCGCACTTTATTATTTCCAAGGGAAAAGGGAAAAGAGCGAAATAAAACCCTAAAATATGCAATGTAAAGTAATACTTAAAAGTAATGAAAATACAATGCGTTTTGAAAAGAGATCGAGAGTTTGGGGGTTGGTTATACAATGGGAAGGTATTAGCACCCAATGCATCTGCGGTACTCCGCAGGAACCTTTTGAAATATCTGTTTTTGGTTAAAATTGATTGATTGCAAAAAAAAAAAAAATAGACAAATGAGAAAATAATTGTTTTTATTATTTTTTATTTATTTTTAGTAATTTATATACATGTGAATTTATTTACAAATTAATTAATCAGGAGAAACCCTAAAAACATAGACAACGTTAATTGTTTACCTAATAAAACTAATATCTTTTTGGAATTTTGTATTATTAATGTTCATGTATTTTTATAATGGTAATTATTAAATAAAATAAAAGATTAAATATAACAAACTAAATAACTTAATAAACAAAAAGTATATTTTTTATTTTTTGCGTTTTGTATGTTATTATAACAAATAAACTAAATTGGTTAACAACCTAATTCTAAATAACTCATGTAACAATCCTAATAACAAATATTAATGATAACTAAATATGACTAAAAAAAGGTGATTATTTCATGAATGAGGTTAGAAATATATTGAAATGAATGGTATTAATGAAAGTTGTTAAAATAGATGATTGGCCATGGAATGAGTTGATTTTCTTTGAAACATAACGATAAATAATGTAACTAATGCAATGTACAAAACCTAAAATTAAATGGAAAAAAAAAAAGCACACGGGAACGATACAGGGGTGCCTCTTTCGGCGTCACCCATCTACAAAGTTTTTTTATACTTTTTTTAATTATCATAGAAAGACCAATAATAAATTAACAAGTGGAAAAGATCAAGATTAAAATGAATAAACTAAAAGATATATCATATTAACAACACATTAACACACAGAGAGACACATTCCTTCTCATTAACTTCTTCTTCTCCATTTTTATTCTTTTTTTTTAATCCATGGAAACACAACCAAAACCCATACACACAATTTTATTCAATGGCATATAAATACACACAACAACAAAAAATAGAATCAAGGAAAGAAACAAACTTACCTGTCGGATCTGATGGAAAATCGATTGATGAGGTGGTAGTTGAATATAGCTTGGATGTGCGGTGGAGATACGGATCGGCGGAGTGGTAGAGGGTAATCGCGATCTGAGCTCAAATGGTTGAGGTTCTACCACTCACAGAGGGGGTGGCTCCAATCGGTTGCGGCGCTGGCTGGGAGTTGTGTTTTGGAGAAGTTGTCGTCGATTTTTCGAAGGTGCAACAATGGTTGTCTCGGAAGCTTTCACGAGTTTTCTTTGTTGCAACAATGATTCAATCTCTGGTTTCCTTTTCCTCCTTACTATTATAGTGTTGTTTTGATGGGAACTACGTTATTGGTTTAAAATTTTGAATCATTGTGTTGAGAATTTTGCAGGTGTGGTATGAAATGTTTATGGTGTTTTGTGAAGAATGGCTATTGGTACATTGATTAGTTTGGGAGGCTGGAAATTAGTGTGTAATTGTGTGAATTGCCCCCCCTTTTTCCTTGTTATGAGATGTCTATTATATAGTAAGGATTCAACTCTTGAGAGAGAAAATTGGAGCCAAGATTTTGAAATGAAAAACCAAATTGATGCACTGGTTTAGTGCCTTTCCAATGCAGGAAATTGTTTTTCTCTTTTAATGCAATTGTTGGACAGGTTTTATGCAGGTAACATGACTCTTTTTCTTATTGTTTTATGGACAGGTTTGGGACAACATGACAGGCTGATTTTGGACAGCAACATAGCAATGCAATAATACTGCTTTTTGAAGTTGAATTTTGAATGGAATTTGAGAGATAGTGGATGCTGTTAAACCGTGACCTTTGGTGTTGTGGTCCCAAATTTTGCTTTCTTATTTTATTTGACAACAAGACAAAGAAATACTAATAAGAATGATAATAATAACAATAATACTAATATTAGTAACAACTAAACAAATAAACTAAAAATACAAAATAAAGATTGTTAGTAACAAATAAATATTTAAACTAAAAAATATAGAAAGAAAAAAATGAAAATTATTAGTAATACAAAAAAATAAAAGTAAATGATATTAAAATTGATTTTAATTTTAATAATAATTTAACTTCAAAATTGAATTAAAATTAGAACCAAATCAATATTAATATTGGATTAAAAAGAAACTAAAATTATAATGACTAAAATGAATTAGAATGTAAAATAAAAGAAAAAGATACTAACTATATATTTTTTGAAACAAAATGATACAGACATATAAATTTAAATAAAACTAATAAAAGACCATTTTTTATATTTTGAATAAAAAAAATAAAAAAATTGTAAATAAATAAATAAAAATAATAACATGATGTTAAGTTCGTCTTTTATGATTTTTTTTTTAATGGAAAAGAAATCATGAATAAAACACAGTTGAAATCAAATTTCACCAAATTCACAAAACGACTTTTAACGTTAACAATTTTTCATGGCTTTTCAATGCATAATTTTCCCTTGATTTGTAAAGAAAAGTTGTAGATGATGTCAAGGAAAATTATGTGCAAAAACAACCGCTCAAAAAAATGTCAAAATTTGAAGAAGTTATGAATTTTTAAAATCTGCTTTGAAAATTGATAAAAATAGGCCGAATCGCTGGTGAACACTTGCTTTATAATGATGCAGATGGAAGGTGATATCTTAGGTCAAAAATTGGGGTATGACAGCTGCCCCTATTTAAGTTTCTTCTATTCAGAGATATGAAGATTGATATCTTCGTCTCGACGAGATTGAAGGGACTTAAATATAGAATACACAATTTTTGGCCTTAAGATACCGCAATTATGTTTATGATATGATATGAATGTATTATTTTGAATTTAATGAGGAACGATGCCGCATGAGACAAACTACTGCTGGAGAAACCAAGCACATTATATAGTAATCCCACTGGGGAAGAGATTATAACTCCACTGAGGAAACAGAGTCATAGACTTCAAATGAGAGACTCTTATTAGAGAATAACTTTGAGGGAAGAAATGAATGATTTACATCAGTATTGAGACTGGAAAAGAAAATTATTTACATCAGTACTGAGAGTGGAGAAGGGAAATGATTGACATCAGCACTGAGACTGGCAAAGAAAATGATGGATATCAGTACTGTGACTGGAAAAGAAAATGATAGACATCAGTACTGAGACTGGAAAGTGATTAACATCAGCACTGTGGCTGGAAAACAAAATGATTGACATCAGCACTGTGGCTGGAAATAAACATCTCTGATTTCTGAATTTTACCAAGAACGGTAACACATTTCCTCTTTAACCAAGATATCACTTGAAAAGGATAAAATAACAAACTTCCCCACGGGACTTTTCCAAAGGGATGCCATTTGCTGAGTAAACATTATTGTTGGGGATACACAAGCTGCTCAAATAAAGAGGCCGCCACTTGCTTCCTTTCAAAGGTGTCAATAACATACAAGCTGCTCATGAAGAGACCACCACTTGCTGTCTTCAAAGAAAATTAAAGCATACAAGCTGCTCATGAAGAGTCCACCACTTGTTGTCTTCAAAGAAAATTAAAGCATACAAGCTGCTCATGAAGATTCCGCCACTTGTTGTCTTCAAAGAATATCAAAGCACACAAGCTGCTCATGAAGAGTCTGCCACTTGTTGCCAATAACCCACAAGCTGCTCAAATAGATAAGCTGCCACTTGCTGTCTTCCAAAAATACTAACGTACAAGCTGCTCATGAAGAAGCTGCCACTTGCCGTTTTCCGTACAAGCTGCTCATGAAGAGACTGCCACTTGCCATTTTAAAGGGAACAATAACACACAAGTCGCTCAAGTAGATAAGCTGCCACTTGTTGTCTTTCAAAAATACTAACGTACAAGATGCTCGTGAAGAAGCTGCCACTTGCTGTTTTCTTAAAAGGTATCAATAACACACAAGTTGTCTCATGAAGAAACTGCCGCTTGTTGTCTTTTCAAGGTATCAATAACACACAAGTTGTCTCATGAAGAAACTGCCGCTTGTCGCTTTCTTAAAAGGTATCAATAACACACAAGTTGTCTCATGAAGAAACTGCCGCTTGTTGTCTTTTCAAGGTATCAATAACACACAAGTTGTCTCATGAAGAAACTGCCGCTTGTTGTTTTTTCAAGGTATCAATAACACACAAGTTGTCTCATGAAGAAACTGCCGCTTGTTGCTTTCTTAAAAGGTATCAATAACACACAAGTTGTCTCATGAAGAAACTGCCGCTTGTTGCTTTCTTAAAAGATACCCATAAAATATCGTGAAGATATTGCCGGAGGTGAGAACCAATAATTTCATCGGGGATGGACAAACTGCTCATGAAGAGACCGCCATTTGTCGTAGAGAAATCATAAATAATCAAACTGCTTAAACAAAGAGTCAGTCACTTATTGTCATGTCGATATTCCAGAAGAAGATTGTGATAACACTGTTGGGGAATAAAGTTCATCTTTAATGGGGAACCATGAATAAATCCTTCCTGAGAAGATCAAGTATTTACATTGCAAAATAAATGCACTTTCCATCTAGGTTTCACAGCCTAGAGATATCCACAGGGTATCGTTCTCAAGAGACAAAGCTCAGTCCAGGAATAAACTGGAGAGAAAAACAGTCAAACAAGACTCCACCCAATGAGGAAACAACTCAAATGGGGATTTATCCTATCTAGAGATGGAAAAGGAAAGCTAAAGCAAGATTCTTCCACGAGAGTTAACTCAGTGGGGAATTAGAAAGGAGGCGCACTTTCTGCTTAAGTTGACATTCTATTTGGAAAGATCAAATACGTTATTTGAATAGACATAACCAAGGTATACGTACTCAAAGACATCAACAAATACAACTGTGCGTGCATGATGCAAGTGTGAACGAATAAATGAGTGCCATGTATGTGCTGACAAAACAAATAGACAAGATAAACTGGAGATGATAAGACATCATAGCACAACCCAACACTCAGCTAATCTCAACAAGATGGGAACATTACTGGAGATAGAACATAGGCCATCATTGGAGCAAGGTCCTTTTACAAGGCTTAAATATCTCTGGAGAGGAAGATATTTTCAGGTAGAAAACCCAGGGTCCAGTCTTCTATCGCAAACAATCCATTGAAAGGATAACAACACAAACAGAGTTTCAGCTGGAAAGAAGTCTTGCTTAGCTGGAGATACTGGGAACACCACCCTCTGATAATGTATGAAAAACATATCTTGACAAATCTGGATTGCCCCTGGGATTAATTTTGGATGCCCCAAGTTTACTGCTGATAAGCTGCGTGATGCACGACAATTCTTGCGAATAACTTCACTTCTAAAATGCCCCAAGCTATCTAGTTGATGAGGAGAAATCGTCTCAAGAGGATTTTACAAAAGACATGGCATTCACCATGCTCTGGTGTCTTCAAACTCTTAGAGAGATTCATCGAATCTCGACGTGATTGCCCCGGATTAACTGTAGTTGGCACAACAAAGTCTTCAAATTTTGCCCCAATAAAAGAGTAAAGAATTTGGGAAAGCATTAACTGGGAGAAGCAACATGTTCGTGCTTAAGGTCTTCAGGTGACATGCCCCTGGATATGATTTTTCTTGAAATGATCCGCCAATTACTCAACATAGTTTCAGGCCCTTAAAAGAATAAACTCATCACTGCTGCTTATATGTGAGCTTCCTTGATATCAAACAAATGTTTTGCAGTTAGAAAATTTTATTATGAGAATGAAAATTCTAATGCAACAGTTATGTAAGTCTTGAAGATTTTGAAAAGATATCGCACAAATTTTGCGAGTTAGAGCATCCTTTATTTTTGTATAGGAAAAACATATGATACCAACATAACTACTTAGAACATTTATGGGAGTCAGGAACACTATCTCATTGAAGTATGCTTTCAAAATAATCTTGCTTCAATTAGGACTTTTGAAGGTTGTAACGTGGTCTGGTTCATGGTTTTTAGAAAAAAGATTTTAAGGCTCAAAATATTTGGTGCCCACCCCCTTCATGATGTTCTCCAACCCTATGTTCAGTTAATTCGACACGAGTGTTCATCTCTCAAAAGGATTTTGTGACGGTCAAGGAAACGACGAGGCTTTCGAAATAGAAACCACCCTCATGTCTTCGTGTTTGTAGTCACCAATTTGTTCTTTGCTGAGGACTTTTCTTTGCAGTCCTTTTCTTTGCCATTTTTATTTTCCCTAACTTTTGCCTGAACTAATTCTTTTGAATTGATAGTCCAGCGGGATGCCTTAATTTTGCCTAAGTCACACGTTTTCATGTTTTTTGACTTAGCAGGCTTTTTCTTTTTCTCGATTTTTGACTTTTTGAACAAAATGTGTGACATTAGCTTGTCTTTGTTTGTTGAGAGGATTGTGATTGCCTCGTTTCTTGATGAATGAGGGTTAACATTATGGTTCCATATCCTCTAGATTCATTATACATGAAGGATAGCCCTCGTAGTTTCTCTTCAAAAAACATTTTCCTTATGAGTTTTGAACACTCAATCAGATTAACTGAAAACTACCCTGCCCCAGGTTAAAAGTTAAGGGTTTTTTCGTATAGAAAAGAAACTTCTACTTCAAGGCTCAAAAGGGGTTAGCAAGGGATTATCTTCCTTATATCTCCGGTGTTTAGGGATTTGAAACAATGCCTGTACATCATCAGCAAGATTTTATCCAAAAGCAAACAAACAGAGATTTTGTGTTCTTTAGATCATCATCCTCCCTTCAATCTCTGCCTAGGTAAGAGAATGGGCAACAAGTTGGTATCATAATGCAAAAAGCAATTTAAAATTTGAAAACAAATATGTGTGAAACAAATGAATTTCTTCAAGACAAACATGCTCATTGTATTAAGATAATCATTCAAATGCAAACAAGTTCTTACATGCAAATAATGTTTTGATAAACAAGAAAAATTGCAACAAGCAGAAATAAGTTAATGATCGGGGAAGGCTTTCCATCTGGACTTGAATCACCGAAAACATCCTTCAAAACTCAAAGTGACCATCAATCGTGTTTACTCTTCGGCACGTGCTTGATTTGAACTTCAAAACCAACGTCCTTGAATGACAATCAGTGAATACTTTTATCCTCGCTTCCTCCTTCTTAGAAGGATTGACTTGGGCAGCAACCAAAATTTCAACCAAAACAGTTGAGTGATCCATACCAGCTTTCAAAATAGTCATCTCTCTACGGAGTTCAGAAACCTCTTGCTTGATATTCTCCATTGTTCTCTTAGCGCGAGTGTTGTACTGGTGAGACCAAAGGAAAAATAAGACTCGGAAAAAGACCTTTGAAAGTGAAACAAAAAATGTAGAATGATGTATGATATGCAAAAGAGAGTTTTTATTTGATTTTCAAGGAACTCAAGATATTAAGTTGTAAACATCAAAGTATGAAGATAGAAGATGAATTTTAAATTGGCTCCAAACATTGATCAAGTTATCATCAAGATCAATCATCCATTTTGGTGGATTAGGGTTTTCGCCCTATCAACACCCAAGATCCATTGAGCTTGACGAAACTTGTGATGTTTACAAAGAAAGACCTCCAAATTCCTTCAAAGTCAAGTGAAAAGGGTTTTATGGATGCATGAATGCATGGCTATGCAACAACCACAAGTAAGGTCACAAACAAAGTCGAAAGGTTCAACACAAGCATGGAGTCAAAGGTAAAAACCATCCCCAAGGTATGTACTAAAGGTTTAATCACACCTGTAAAACAAGGTTCTAAAAGTTCCCAGAGTCCACATCCCTCCTTCGGATATTACCAACGTCTCGATTACTCGGTAATTAGCAATATTCTCAAGAGAAACTCGTCTGAGTGCAACATCGCGTGACAACTACTTTCGGATTACTCCGTTATAGTCTCCGCACTACACCTAAGAGGCCAAGATGGGTTAGGGTTCTACGGTTCTCAGCTTCTCTGGCTCCCAGGTCGAAAGCAACAACGTCTTCCCGATTACTCGGTAAACAAATATTACATTCAAAAGGGCCTTCCACTGAGTGGGGGATCTCATGCCTCCTTCTTCGGGATTACTCCCTCAAAGTTAACATGACTATACCGCCCGTCCTATTCCTAAGTGTAACTTAGTCCGGGTATAGGACTTATCCTTTGTAAATACCCAAATAACCACAATATATACATATAAACAAACAATCAAATAATGATAAAACAGATAAAACAAATTAGGCTTAACCCACTTAGGGATGGACCAGCAAGAGGTCAATCTATCCCCAGCAGAGTCGCCAATTCTGTAGCGGTGAAAATCGGAGATCAAGCTATTAATTAACTTGACTCACAAAAGCAAGAGTCGCCACCGCACTTTATTATTTCCAAGGGAAAAGGGAAAAGAGCGAAATAAAACCCTAAAATATGCAATGTAAAGTAATACTTAAAAGTAATGAAAATACAATGCGTTTTGAAAAGAGATCGAGAGTTTGGGGGTTGGTTATACAATGGGAAGGTATTAGCACCCAATGCATCTGCGGTACTCCGCAGGAACCTTTTGAAATATCTGTTTTTGGTTAAAATTGATTGATTGCAAAAAAAAAAAAAATAGACAAATGAGAAAATAATTGTTTTTATTATTTTTTATTTATTTTTAGTAATTTATATACATGTGAATTTATTTACAAATTAATTAATCAGGAGAAACCCTAAAAACATAGACAACGTTAATTGTTTACCTAATAAAACTAATATCTTTTTGGAATTTTGTATTATTAATGTTCATGTATTTTTATAATGGTAATTATTAAATAAAATAAAAGATTAAATATAACAAACTAAATAACTTAATAAACAAAAAGTATATTTTTTATTTTTTGCGTTTTGTATGTTATTATAACAAATAAACTAAATTGGTTAACAACCTAATTCTAAATAACTCATGTAACAATCCTAATAACAAATATTAATGATAACTAAATATGACTAAAAAAAGGTGATTATTTCATGAATGAGGTTAGAAATATATTGAAATGAATGGTATTAATGAAAGTTGTTAAAATAGATGATTGGCCATGGAATGAGTTGATTTTCTTTGAAACATAACGATAAATAATGTAACTAATGCAATGTACAAAACCTAAAATTAAATGGAAAAAAAAAAAGCACACGGGAACGATACAGGGGTGCCTCTTTCGGCGTCACCCATCTACAAAGTTTTTTTATACTTTTTTTAATTATCATAGAAAGACCAATAATAAATTAACAAGTGGAAAAGATCAAGATTAAAATGAATAAACTAAAAGATATATCATATTAACAACACATTAACACACAGAGAGACACATTCCTTCTCATTAACTTCTTCTTCTCCATTTTTATTCTTTTTTTTTAATCCATGGAAACACAACCAAAACCCATACACACAATTTTATTCAATGGCATATAAATACACACAACAACAAAAAATAGAATCAAGGAAAGAAACAAACTTACCTGTCGGATCTGATGGAAAATCGATTGATGAGGTGGTAGTTGAATATAGCTTGGATGTGCGGTGGAGATACGGATCGGCGGAGTGGTAGAGGGTAATCGCGATCTGAGCTCAAATGGTTGAGGTTCTACCACTCACAGAGGGGGTGGCTCCAATCGGTTGCGGCGCTGGCTGGGAGTTGTGTTTTGGAGAAGTTGTCGTCGATTTTTCGAAGGTGCAACAATGGTTGTCTCGGAAGCTTTCACGAGTTTTCTTTGTTGCAACAATGATTCAATCTCTGGTTTCCTTTTCCTCCTTACTATTATAGTGTTGTTTTGATGGGAACTACGTTATTGGTTTAAAATTTTGAATCATTGTGTTGAGAATTTTGCAGGTGTGGTATGAAATGTTTATGGTGTTTTGTGAAGAATGGCTATTGGTACATTGATTAGTTTGGGAGGCTGGAAATTAGTGTGTAATTGTGTGAATTGCCCCCCCTTTTTCCTTGTTATGAGATGTCTATTATATAGTAAGGATTCAACTCTTGAGAGAGAAAATTGGAGCCAAGATTTTGAAATGAAAAACCAAATTGATGCACTGGTTTAGTGCCTTTCCAATGCAGGAAATTGTTTTTCTCTTTTAATGCAATTGTTGGACAGGTTTTATGCAGGTAACATGACTCTTTTTCTTATTGTTTTATGGACAGGTTTGGGACAACATGACAGGCTGATTTTGGACAGCAACATAGCAATGCAATAATACTGCTTTTTGAAGTTGAATTTTGAATGGAATTTGAGAGATAGTGGATGCTGTTAAACCGTGACCTTTGGTGTTGTGGTCCCAAATTTTGCTTTCTTATTTTATTTGACAACAAGACAAAGAAATACTAATAAGAATGATAATAATAACAATAATACTAATATTAGTAACAACTAAACAAATAAACTAAAAATACAAAATAAAGATTGTTAGTAACAAATAAATATTTAAACTAAAAAATATAGAAAGAAAAAAATGAAAATTATTAGTAATACAAAAAAATAAAAGTAAATGATATTAAAATTGATTTTAATTTTAATAATAATTTAACTTCAAAATTGAATTAAAATTAGAACCAAATCAATATTAATATTGGATTAAAAAGAAACTAAAATTATAATGACTAAAATGAATTAGAATGTAAAATAAAAGAAAAAGATACTAACTATATATTTTTTGAAACAAAATGATACAGACATATAAATTTAAATAAAACTAATAAAAGACCATTTTTTATATTTTGAATAAAAAAAATAAAAAAATTGTAAATAAATAAATAAAAATAATAACATGATGTTAAGTTCGTCTTTTATGATTTTTTTTTTAATGGAAAAGAAATCATGAATAAAACACAGTTGAAATCAAATTTCACCAAATTCACAAAACGACTTTTAACGTTAACAATTTTTCATGGCTTTTCAATGCATAATTTTCCCTTGATTTGTAAAGAAAAGTTGTAGATGATGTCAAGGAAAATTATGTGCAAAAACAACCGCTCAAAAAAATGTCAAAATTTGAAGAAGTTATGAATTTTTAAAATCTGCTTTGAAAATTGATAAAAATAGGCCGAATCGCTGGTGAACACTTGCTTTATAATGATGCAGATGGAAGGTGATATCTTAGGTCAAAAATTGGGGTATGACAATACCCATCGAGGTCCAGATTCCTTCTTTAAGGATTATGAAAGATGTGGGTTTGAATGAAGACGATTGGATCCAGACTCGACTTGATCAACTAAATTTGATCGACGAGAAGAGACTTACTGCTGTCTATCATGGCCAGACCTATCAAAAATGAATGATCAAGGATTTCAACAAAGAAGTCAGACGTCAAGAGTATCAAGTCGGAGATTTGGTAATAAAGTGCATCATATTGCCGCAAGGTGATCCCAGAGGCAAATGGACTCCCACATACGAAGGGCCATTTGTGGTTAAAAACATTTTCTCGGGTGGAGCTATGATTCTAACCACCATAGACGGTGATGACCTTCCTCACCCTATCAATGCAGACATAGTGAAAAGATACTACGCCTAATCAAAGTCCCGCTAGGTTGACTGGCCTAGGAAAAAATAAGGGCTTCCCGGCGAATCAAAAGGTTTCGGGTAAAAATAAGGGATGAAAATGAAAAAATTTGTACACCCGGCAAGCCAAAAACCTGAAAAGGCGGCTTGGGAAAAAAAGGGTATCCCGGTGGACTGAAAACCCGAAAGGGAAGTTCAGGAAAAAGTTAGGGATGTAAAGCGTATCACTATTAGATCACCTTACAATCAGACCTCAGTATCAATTGTCAAGCTCGAACGGCACCGATCAGTCTAATCAGCTTCAGACAAGAAGAAAAGTGACAGACGCTTGAAGACATAACGGCAATAGCACAATTGAAACTTAAATGGGACTATTGCACATAGTTGTTTTCTTTTTGTTGTACACAATATTGTATAGCCTCCTTTTCACGGTGGCGTTCTCTTACTAGAGCGTCAGCTTCCTTGTACAAAAAACGCCTGTTATAGGCCAACTTCAAGAAATCAATACAAATCATTTTTACAAAAATATGTGTTTTCTCCTTTCTGTTTTGTTTCGCAAAAACGTCCAATGATTTATTCTTGACATATGCATTTGAAAATAATTGATGCTCATAAATATTTACATAAGAAATGGAAAGACAATTGCTCGTGACTTAAGAAACAGGGGCAAAAACAAGAAATGTCAAACCCGACAGGTACTTTGTCCAGCAGGTAGGCATAGACAACTTTGAAACATAATTTTCAGTGCATACGACCTTGTAACATCTTACTCCCCACAGAGTAAAAGCAATCAAAGCAATTGATATCAGCTTTCCCAAAATAGGAAGTAAGCTCCTCAGCCAGGGCCTCTCAGAAACCTGACATCTATATCACCCAACCGAATTTCATAATCGTGAGCGGATCGTCATAAATTTTATCTCCCAAGCAGAGTTTATTTCTCTGAATACTGAAGCTCCATCCCCAACAGAGCTTATTACTCCAACCACGAAAATTCACTTTCCAACAAAGCTTTTCCCCCGTAGAGTTATTCTCGAACAAAGTCTCGCCCTGACAGAATATTCACAAACAACAAGGAGTAAATCTCCAGCACATTCATTCCCATTCAGCATCCCCAGTGGAAGTAGAAGAACCACAGTCCTCTACAACAGTCAGGAATGCTATACTCTCCAACAGTAGTCAGGGATTTATTTTCCCAGACTCGGGCGTGTCACAATAGCATTTCATGTCCATACATCATGACATGCGCATACATATCACATACAGCATAATCTCATTTATTTTGAGTACATCGTCTCATAACACATTGCATGCATCGCATATAATTAACCATATTATATTTTCAGGAAAGACAATTATCATCAACGATCCCAGCAGTTATACATGTCATATCTGCAGACAAATAATCTGCATGACCCAACGAAGTAACCCTACTATCCAGGTTCCTCCTCATAGCCCTACAATCCAGGCTTTCATCTCAAAATAACCCTACGACCCAGGTTCCTTCTCATAGCCCTACTACCCAGGCTTTATTTCAAAGTAACCCTACTACCCAGGTTCCTTCTCATAGCCCTACTATCCAGGCTTTCATCTCGAAGTAACCCTACTATCCAGGTTCCTTCTCATAGCCCTACTATACAGGATTTCATCTCGAAGTAATCCTACTAACCAGGTTCCTTCTCATAGCCCTACTATCCAGGCTTTAATTTCGAAGTAACCCTACTATCCAATTTCCTTCTCATAGCCCTAATATCCAGGCTTTCATCTCGAAGTAACCCTACGACCTAGGTTCCTTCCCATAAGCCCTACTATCCAGGCTTTCATTTTAAAGTAACCCTATGACCCGGGCTCCTTCCCATAAGCCCTACTATCCAGGCTTTCATTTCTAAGTAACCCTACGACCCGGGTTCCTTCCCATAAGCCCTACTATTCAGGCTTTCATCTCTAAGTAACCCTACTATCCAGGTTCCTTCTCATAGCCCTACTATCCAGGCTTTCATCTCGAAGTAACCCTACTATCCAGGTTCCTTCTCATAGCACTACTATCCAGACTTTCATTTCAAAGTAACCCTAGTATCCAGGTTCCTTCTCATAGCCCTACTATCCAGGATTTCATTTTGAAGTAACCCTACTATCCAGGTTCCTTCTCATAGCCCTACTATCTAGGCTTTCATTTCGAAGTAACCCTACTATCCAGGTTCCTTCTCATAGCCCTATTATCCAGGCTTTCATTTCGAGATAACCCTACTATCTAGGTTCCTTCTCATAGCCCTACTATCCAAACTTTTATTTTGAAGTAACCCCACTATCTAGGTTCCTTCTCATAGCCCTGTTATCCAGGCTTTCATTTCGAAGTAACCCTACTATCCAGGTTCCTTCTCATAGCCCTATTATCCATGCTTTCATTTTGAAGTAACCCTACTATCCAGGTTTTCATTTCGAAGTAACCCTACTATCCAGGTTCCTTTTCATAGCCCTACTATCCAGGATTTCATTTTGAAGTAACCCTACTATCCAGGTTCCTTCTCATAGCCCTACTATCCAGGCTTTCATTTCGAAGTAACCCTACTATCCAGGTTCTGTCTCATAGCCCTACTATCCCGGATTTCATTTCGAAGTAACCCTAATATCCAGGTTCCTTCTCATAGCCCTACTATCCAGGCTTTCATTTAGAAGTAACCCTACTATCCAGGTTCCTTCTCTTTTATCTCCGGAGAACAGTTTGCAACACTGTAAAACCTGGACTCGACTAGATACAATCGATTTCATATTCCATAGTAAGTCGTTGTGAAGCCTGGACCCGACCAAATAACAGCTCGCTTTTGTTTCATCAATCAGGAGTTAATTCCCCGGTAGAGTAATGGACAACTGAAGCTCCTATACTCCATTTCCCAGGACATAAATCAACATCCCCCGACGAAGTTCTCCTCAACAGCAGGTACCACAATTCTCGCAAAGAAATCTCTTATGCGACCGATATATTCTTTGGATGGCATCTTTAAGCCTATCTCTGATGATTATCTGTCAACTTCCAAATGGAATCTATAAGCCCATTCCCAATATCACCAATCAGTATTACTTCATGCGAGTGCAAATTTATGGGCACTCTAGTGTTCAATCATCTTCTACCTTCAGATCACAAAAGGCAGACCGGTCAATCTACATCCTCGGGTTTAAGAATATTGAATAGGGGCAGATGTTTTACCCCAAAATTTGACCTCCCATTTTACTCAAAATATACTCACTGAATTACCCAACTTGCCCAAAGATGTCTAAGGATTGATCAGACAAATGCTCTCCTAAGATAATGAACCTCAAACTAGGGTTTCCATTTGAATCAATATGGTTGAACTCAAAAGGTTTCAAATCTTCTACATGGTCTTAATATGTT